TGACCTAACGGTTTATAATTATGATTGCAGCACGAGCTAAATCCAGGTTTTGTTTTCAGATTCTGAGGCAATGTATAACCGAGTCACTTAACAATGATATTTTCCATTCAATCAACACACTACATCAACTTTGAGTACTTCCTCATTGATTGCACTATAGTGTTGTTCTAAAATTATACACATATTCAGATAGAAATATTCTTGCTAGAGATTTCCCATTTTTATTTTGTTTACCCCATTCGCTTAATAGGTAGCAATGGCGGGAGTCATGGATGAAAACATTCTAAATGACGGTATATTGATACAGATATCCTCAAGAATTAACGGCATCACCCCAGCACAGCTAAGCGTTTATCTGGGGTTCAGTGCTACGCAGGGTAACAACGCTCAAATTTTGAGTTTTGTCCAACTCAATCCTCAGTCGGCGTACGAGAGCTTACTTCATCAATTTGTTAACAAGCATGGCACAGGTAGAACGAGCGCGCTGAAACTGCGGCTTATATTCCGGGAGAATGACATGGGCCTTTGTGCTGAAATCATTGAAGAAGGTATATGAAGTCCTATCATTTCTAATTTAAAAAAAAATAGTTTAGGTTTTCTCGAAAAAATACAACCTTAAAGTATTCCGTGACTGCTTTACCATTGCTCTCTAAAGAATCAATTGAAAGGTTTATTACATTTTACAAATCTTCTACAGTGATATTATTAGACTTTTATCTTTCGATTTCAGTTTTTCGATAATACACAGGCCTTAAAAAGCGTGGATGTATAATAAATATTTGAACTGGAAGGCAAAGCGAGCAATAATCCTGCCATTTAGGACTATACTTAAAAAAGGGAAAACAACTTTCCTGAAATGTTGAAGTTGAGAGAGTTTAATAAGAGAATGCATTTCGAGAGGATAGTCTCAGGAAAGACATTTAATAATTGTATTATTTCTTTTGATATTTATTTCCTCTAGAGTTAAGGAAGAGGAATATTGATTTCCCTGACCATGTTGATGCAGCTAATTAACCTACCGCCCACCGGAATTTCGTAGCTCACGGATTACGTCTTGGAATGAGAGAGTTTTTGTAGTCACCGGGTTAACGAACCTTGACATGACACGAAACTAACAAATCACCCTATGATGATTACTGTTCTTTGTATACTTCCTTGTTTCATGTCTCCTTGAAAATATCATTATCATGATAATGTGGCAGTACGTGTAGGTGTCAATTCAAAATTTAGTTTGTTCTATATGATTAGCAAATATACATTTTTGCCCGGTTATTTCACATCTTCTGTATTCAAAAGGAAAACTGAGATATCTTGAGGTGATAATTTAAGGTTGCTAGAAAATATCTGGAGAGCATGAAAGTGTTTTAGCGCGAACTTATCATATAGTTTATTTTTAATGTTATTAGTAGTTTAAGTTCAGCTTAGTTCAGTTCAATTCATCGATTTCATAAAATACAAAGATATAATAATACATAATAACATTTGCCTGGGAAATTGCATTAAAAGGCCAGTGGCTTACAATAAAACACAGCGATTCCCCTTACAATCATCGTAATGAAAACGGCAAATACAGAATACAAACAATACACAAATTTACGAAGCCAAAATCCTTTTCACATTTCAAACATTAAACAAGTAAATAACGAAACATAAACAGAAAATATTCATATATTTTGTCAAATACAGATTTTTAAAATAAAAAAGTCGAAATGTGAAGCTTGTACATATTTATCAGGGTACGTTCAAACTTAGACTCAAAGGCATTTCTGGAGTGTCTGATTAAAAAAAAAAATTCTATTTACATTTTAAATACATTTATAAACTACAGATTTACATTATGTTAAATTTAAAGAGAAAGTTGAGTTCTGGGAAGAGGTGAAAAATAATTTGTGAGCGTTATCATTCTTATTATGCAAGTGTAGAAGAACTTCAGATAAGACATGTTCTCTTCAAATGCCTTCATATTCTAAATATGTCATGTAACATCGTCAAACTCGGGGGTAGGATTTTTACGCCACGTGTTCGTGTAGTCCGATATACATATTTCTGTGTACAGTGTTTGTAACTTTACCAAGACTTGGCCAAATCGTCGCTGTTTTCACGAAGTGACGGTAATGAAAAAAAATGCATTCACTTTGCGTTACGATTTTCCTCACTACCGTCAATTCGTGAAAACAAGGACGAAATTTCTTATCCTTTTGATGATTCCAGAACCTTGCAATACACACAAATTCTTATATGCTAGATGATCAACCTTTTCTGGTCGATTCTACACCGTTTCTTTCACAATGCAATCGCATGACCAGAACTCAACTTCATCTTTAAACGACAGTATGGCAAGAAAATAATATGTTTACATTGTGTATAAATAAATGATTTAACATGCTATTGCAAAATAAGTTTCTTAAATTGCAGGTAGTATTAATGCGTTGACGTGTTCGACCATAAAAAATGTCAATGATAATTTAACATTATCAACAAATTTTAAGGTATTTAATTCCTTAAATGGCGACGTGGTGTGGGCAAGTTAGTGGGAATAAGTGAAAAGTCAAACAGCTTTCTTTTGTAATAGAAATAACAATTGAGATGTTGCAAGATAAAGGGGTTATATAACATAAATACATTATTGTAAGGTATAGGTGAACGTAGCTTAGACATTATGCCGATGTATATAATATATATTATTTTTCCATAAATATTGTTAACATGTTCTGTCCAATTTAGCCTTTCGTCGATTATGACGCCAAGGAAGTTTATGCTATGAAACTTTTCAATTTAAAATATTGTTCATTTCAATTAATGTTTTGATAATGTCAAGTATTTTAACTAAACGAAATATCATATATTTTTTGTTTTATAATAAGTTTTAACCTATTGGCCTTCAGACAATCGGAAACATGTAACAAAATACATATAACAAATGATCTCGTTTAAAGCTGGGGACGATTTTCAAATACATTGTGCACGCATGTATTTTCGAAAGTCAGAGTCGTTTGATTAATTGTACCATTGTTTGTATAATACTGAAATTGGATAATCAAACCCTTTGTAATTCAGTCTGTATTTTTTGGTTTCATCCGTTAGATATTTATACAGGGTAGCAAATGTGTATGTACACTGCGACTCATATATATTTTTCGTGATATTCATAAAGGGCTAAGTTTATATTGAGTCAAATAAACCCATGAAAAAAATGCATGAATAATTTTATTGAAGGGAAATCCAATCAATGAATTTTAAGTAGTCGATTCATTCGAATCGTTCACATATTGATAGTCGTATATAACTTTTTCTAAGACTAACCAGATTACTTCAATATTAGTGGTCATGTTTTTTATGGACAGTGCAGTATGACATTGGGACAACCATTAAGTTGATTCCTGAAAGTCATTCGCAACCGTGTTATACATTGTTGGCAGATTACTATAACATGAGAGGTCACAGAGATCACGTATACAACTTGAACAAAGGAACAGATACATCTATTACTAATACTTCATTATGAACTGTATGAAATTATCTGTGCTAAAGATGAATCAGGACCATTTTATCTTTACTATCCAGTTGGCGTAATACAGAACTCGGGGTTTCCCACATGATTGCTCTGTATTCAGCTATTGATGATAGAAAACACATCAAAGCAGTCACTCGTAAATGGTTTACACAAAGTGTATTATATGCTCTTTTAGAATCATTAACTATTATACTTTATTAGACAAATAAAAATTTTCCTATAGACTCACCAGTTTCCTATACCAATATTGAAAGTATTGTATCTAAGGCGTTGGCCTTTCTCTGTTATCCTGTAAGAAATTCATAAAATAGAATAGCGCATTTTAATTCCAATAATATAAATGTCTATTTGTAATTTTGTTTGTATTTTCTTACCCGTTCATTGTGTATATAATGTGCTTTCATTGTCATCTGTTGTTTATTGAAATCACGTTTATGTCAGTAATATTTTGCGATTGATCCATGTATACTAAACCAATGTCTCGGAAATTATACTTTTTTTTATTTAATTTAAATCACACTTTCTGCGAGGGTAGATTATTGACAATGACTGTAAATATTTACGTCTATTCAAATAAATGTTATGTATTGCAGTTCATAATTGATTATGCCCATTTCTTTTGTCAGGAAAAGTAACATTTTGTTGAGATTAAAAACCAGATGAAATAATAAATTTGAAGTTTTTGTTATTGAAGAGAACTCTCGTCACTAATATTTTACTCCATTCTTGTTTATATTACAAAGACTTTTGAGATAATCAAAATCAAAGTAAGGCAACTTAAATTGCACTGTCCTTCATCTTTTCATATATGCGAACATTACAATTAGAAATTACGTTATCTGATCATGGTTTTTATGGGCAGTGCTGTAAAGCATTGGGACTTCACTTCAGTTGATTTTTTTAAAAGTCTTTTGAATCGTGATATTCCTGGTTAGCAAATTAGTGTTTTTCAACATTATTCGACTAAAACATGAGAGGTCACAGCAATCACGTATAAAAAAACCTAAGAAAAAGAGAAAAGTTCATTCTATTATCATTGCTTCGTTATGAACTGTATGACATCTGTTCTAAAGATGAATCGGGACCATTTTATCTTCATTATCTATTTGGCGCCAAAAACCAACGCGGGATTTCGCACATGATTGTTCTGTATTATGCTATTGATGATAGCAAACACATCAAAGCAGCCATCCATGCATGGTTTACAACAATGTGTATTATGTTTCGTGTAGATTTTTCTTGTTGCTGTTATACTAGAGTGAAAAATCCCCTATTCACAAGTGTTGAATAAACAATATTCATAATGGCACGCTGATAACAAGGTTAGTTATTATTGGGTCAAAGTACATTGAATATTAGTATATTAATACAAGTCAATAATTCCAGATGTCATGCAGAGTCCGAAAAGCAAATCGTCTACATTCTAAACAGCTTTGCTGACATTTTCAGCACTTAAACCCTTGCAAATATTTTTTACTTTTGTCTCCAGAATTAGAGAAGTTTAACATTCCTGTCCCGTCAGACGCAGAAACACTCGTGGAAACACCTGTATCCCTCCCGAATCCTCCTTGCGGCACACCAGGTAATCATATGTACAACCTTATATTCCTCTCACAAGCTTTATGAGACAACCACAACTTTCCTCTATCACAAAAAAAGCGATTTGTCGCTATCAGCCATCCACTGCAGCAGGGAGTATCTAGGCTACGCACCATCCTTTACACAATGTGGTGGCAATATGGGCAATGAGGAAACACAATACATTTTCAGGGAATGTACCAGCTAATTCATCTAATCATCAATAGTTTAGCAAAACAGAATTCTTGAGGAAAAATGTTTTGCGTTTGTTAGTACAGATCAAATCGGAAGGGACCTCACAAGATATATGTCAAATAGTTGCCAAATAGGGTTTGATTGATCGCACCTTTAACAATACATAGTTTTCTTATTTTTTATCGGAATTTGCTCAAACTTTTACTTACCTGTTCCTGTAATGTTCTGCCTCTATACAAACCAACTCAATATCAGAGTGGACGTCTTCTTTATATTACTTATTTTCTAAATGTTCTATACATTCTTGTGGATTGTACACAGTAAAAACGCTGTTTAAAAAAGTGATGTTCACTTACAGTTGTACACTATCTTAAACAACAGTTGATCAAATTGTAAACAATGTTGCTCGAAACAGAAGTAATTTTGTTAAACATTCGTTGTTTAAAATTTAAAGACTGCTATATTTACTATACGAGAGCTTTTAGACAGTGTTGTTTACATATGACGTCATGTGTCTCGTGCCAGTAAAGTGCGTGTTGGCTAAAGGCTTTATTTCACATTGTTATGTTTAGAAACAGGTTCCTTGAAACTAACATGCAATTGAAATTGACATGCCACTTAGAAATGCAGTGCAGCTGTTAAGGCACAGCTCATTGTTATTCATATTAGATGCATACACACAATGCAAGTGTATGCAAGGGTCTTCTGTTGACTACACAGATTGATACATATGTAAAAGCACATGGACATTGAGTCTGGATTAAACTACCAAAGCAACCACACGTGTTTCTGCAGGCTCCATTTTGTTTGTCTCTATACTTACATTTATTTAGCTTAATAGTTATTACTTTCCAACCCACAACACAACACACATCATGGCCGACCAAGCTACCGACGCGCTTCTAAGTGACTGGGGATTCAATGGCTTAATTGAAATCACTTTTCTATTAACCAATTTGAAGTTTTTAACTTATAGCGTAAGTTCACAGTTAAAATTTTCGGTATCTGTACGCAAATGTCAGAATATAGGTAGACTTAAAATCGTCGCGTCATGCAGTGCGGCACTGATCGCGCACTCGGTTATAACGTGTGCTAAATTCCTTGCCATAGAGATTGCATGCATCCCTATATATGCAGGTTATACGTGCGTGCATGCGCGCTCATGCAAAATGGGCACTGTTTTGGCGCTAATTCATGAATTGCAGAATTACCCTAGTCTTCATATACCTATATAGAGACCCAGAAGTAGTGGTGCACTTATTCAGAGTATCAAACTCAAATTATACCCCTTTATACAACCCTTTTGTTGTAAACAACCCCCACTGAACAACAGCTCCTTTTTAAACAACTTTCTTTAAACAACCCAATTGGTTTAAACAACCCCCACTGAACAACAGCTCCATTTTAAACAACTTTCTTTAAACAACCCAGTTGGTGTAAACAACCCCCACTGAACAACAGCTCCTTTTTAAACAACTTTCTTTAAACAACCCAGTTGGTGTAAACAACCCCCACTGAACAACAGCTCCTTTTTAAACAACTTTCTTTAAACAACCCAGTTGGTGTAAACAACCCCCACTGAACAACAGCTCCTTTTTAAACAACTTTCTTTAAACAACCCAGTTGGTGTAAACAACCTCCACTGAACAACAGCTCCGTTTTAAACAACCGTCTTTAAACAACACCGGTTGTTTAAATTGTGATTTTAAACAAGTTGTTCAAAATGTTGATCAACTAAGTGTTTAAACTTTAAACAATTCGAGTTGCTTAACATTTTAAACAACTCTTAGATCAGGTCACCCGTTAATCAAGAGTTGTTTAAACTTTTAAACAACTTGTTCACAAAAATTTTAACTGTGTAGATGAGGGAGCAGAGGCCGTTGGTGGTTCTAAAACTGGTGCAAAGACGAAGATAGCATGTAAGGATCCAGCTTACAAGCCTGATGACGGTACTGACGAGAAAATGGAAACATGAACGTCCAACAATTTGCTATTTTTCATTTACTTTTTTGTATTACATAGTGTAGATAACTATGGGGTGGGGGTGAAGTACACTAATAAAACGGCCTACTGCGACAAGCCCACAGATTCAAATCATTACATTTAACTCGACAAACTTTTCAAGTAATTGTAAGATTATTAATTACCTTGAAGCTATTAATGGAAAAGCTATTCAAAATTAATGAAAATAAAATGAAAGAAATTATAGTCAAGGAGTGTTATGAGTATAATGGTACAGGGAAAGAATGTCAAACATCCAAATAACTTTGTTCAGCAGTATTCAAACTACAGAATGCTAAAAGGGAATGGGGCTGGTGCAAACCCTTATTTTAATGGGTTTTTTAATGGTCGTAGGCACCAAATTTGGTTAAAAAAATGTCAGTCTAGGGTACATCTCTACCCCACACTAAAAACTTTGGAGTCGGTGTACATTCTTTTTTCATTGCTAAACCAGTCTTTTCCTATGTAATTCAGACGTAGTTAACGTTATTTATGTGGTTTACAGTGTAGAAAGAAAACACAGACAGACATGTAGTCTTCTGTACAAATTAAATTTGAGGACTTATACAATTTGCCAACTTGCGTGGTGTCGTGGCATATTTTTAGTTTTACCTTGTTTTATTAGTACACATTGAAATTTACTTTCTAGATCTTCTCCACCTTATTCTTCTTTCTTCGTCTTCTTCTACCTCTTTTTCTTCATCTTCTTCTTCGTTTTCTTCTTTATCTTCTTCTACTTCTTTATCTTCTTCTTCTTCTTCTTCTTCTTCTTCTTCTTCTTTTTCTTCTTCTTCTTCTTCTTAATTATTTTCTTCTTGGTGTGTACATGTGTGTGTATATGTGTTAATGTGTGCGTGCGTATGGGTTCGTGAGTGCGCGTGCGTGCGTGCGTGTGTGCATGTGTGTGGGAGTTTTTCTCTTTAAGTGTGTGTGGGGATTAATGGGTATATTACAAATATACGGTAAAGAAATAAGCAAACTTTTTGTCAGAGCAAGGAGCACAGCACTTATCAGGAAACACCCTTCTCAACAGGACGAAAATCAGACGATATTTGTTATTTTTTTAGGAGGGGAGGGGGGGGGGGTGCCGGGTGTTGATAGGTTTTAGCTAACCGAAATAAATTGGGGCACTTGACATGCCTGATGTCTCTTCTTTGGAACTGGAGAAAAAAAGGGCAATGTAAGCCTTTTCAAATATTGTGCGTGTGTAAATATTGTGTGTAAGTAAGGATTATGATAATAATACCTATATATGATGAATGTGACCATGGTAACCTCATCGTGACATGAAACAGTTCTCCTATCTACGCCTTCTTCTGTGTGGATTCTGAATAAGCATTGCAACGAGGCGTGCTTACTGCCTACATCATCAGTCTCATGCAGTCTGCAGAATCTGGGCTTTAGTTTTAGTTGGTGGTGCAGTGTCTGTTTTCCGTATATTCATCGCTTCTGCAAATTATATTTGACCTAAAATAGCGTCCAATTTTTGGTAATGAAGATCATTGTTTCAATGTGACGATAAAATATGAAATATGTGGGACTGTATCCCCTACAAATTTATTCCGCGCCATTGCTCGTAAACTCATCACAACAAATGACATACCCCCTGCAACGCAGTGGAACATTCTAAGAAATGGAGAATTTACTATCTGCAAAATGCATCTCATGAATAATATAAGATGTAACTTATCCTATCATTAGGACTTTAATACATTTCTAGATCATAATTTGCTGCATTCTCATTCAAAAAGAAAACTAGTTTGCGAGTAGAAATAGTACTTTTTCGATAATTGAACATCATATAATTGCCGCCGCATACAATATGACGTCATTGTCAGCTGATTGGCTAATTTAGTAGTGACGCCAACCGAGCTGCCTTTGCGCTTTAAGCAGATCCAGCGAGCGAAAATGCGACTACCGGAGCTATATGCACTATTAGTGTACCGTGGCGCCATTTTGTTTACACATTGGATGATCTGGTTACCAAAGACTTCAGAACATTTCTCATAGTCTACTATCATAAGGTGTCTTTCTCGCTTATTTCCGCAGTTTACATCGATTCTGCATCTTGGTAAGTCTTAAATTTGCTCAGCGTGCAAGAAATTAGAAACTAAATAATTAAGTAATCGAGGGAAATGAAAATTTTCTAATGGGCGTTTTCCCCATTACGAACTGTTATATGCATTTGGCCTTTTATCAGAATTCATATTCAAGTAGAAAGCGTGTCTTTGTTATAACATGCAAAAACAAAATCGATAGTATACAAGTTATCAGTATGCGCCCTGTGTTAAATGTTATTCGCATAATTAGCATACTGTCTGTTGAATGCCAGAAGGGTTGTAACTCTTTATAAAAAAATATAGGACCTACATCCGCCTGGTTCTAAGCCTATGCTATTAGGTTGCTGAACTTGCTGTAATACGAGTAATCAATGAATTAAACACATACTACCATATTTCAATTCGAGAACCAAGAAAGACGCCGTATTTGATGGTATGTTAAAAAGCTATTACATTGCTCTTAAAATGTGATTTAATCCACGATAATTTGAGCCATAGACTGTAGCAACTGTAGCATATCGGCCATTGAATTGTGAAGACCCCCAAGTTCGATTCACAAGCAACAGTGAGTGTTATATTCAAAATCTCAAATTTGAACACTGTTATAAGACTTTGGACCCATTTTGAAAACCCCCCGATACTTTTACAATGACTATTTGTTTGTATTATCTGTCAGATTTCCATAGCAGACGTTTACACCAACATAACAATGAGCGTCACACATTTGTTAAAATTAGGGTTCATATAAGAACGCCGCTCAAACTTTAACGGTTGAAAATACGTTATAATTGTTATGCAACTTCTCTACTTGCTAAGACGATGTTCGGATCAACAGTAATGCATTAAAATAATGTTTGAAATTGATAATTTCTGCTAATGTGAATAGAGAAACAAAATTTAAGGGAGAAAGAGAAAGAAAGAAAGGGAGAAAAGGAAGAGAGAGAGAGGAGATAGGTATAAAGAACGAAAGGCAAAGAGAGGGGAAGAAAAACAAGAGAGAAAGAGAGAGAGAGAGAGATAGAGAAATTAGAGAAAGAGGGAAAGAAACAGAGGGAAAAAGGGGGAAAGAAAAAGAGAGAGAGAGAAATAACTTGAGAGATGTGTTATCATGGCTTCTATAATTAATGTGACAAAATGACAAAATATCTTGGTCTATCCTCAAGGAAATCAACAAGCCACTCACATCTTGGCCTTACATATATTGTTCAGACCGATTAAGAAATTGCGAGGGGCCTTTATCCCCTGAACATTGGTTTTTCAACACCAAGTAATAATTGCCCACGAGAAGTTCTATGCCACTGGCAATGCCACGTCGGGGAAAAAGGGGCACAAGCTGTAAAAATATACATTGGTTACCTTCAAATTCCTTATTGAAATTTCACATTAATCTTTCCAAATAATTTGTTTTAATCTTTTTAACTAGAATGTACATATACATAGCAAAGTTCAAGGTACAGGATTCCATGATAATGCTGTTCAGACTTTAAAGTCCAAACAGCATTTATCTCCTTACTGTACCCTGAACTCTATTCAGACATGTCTCTGGAAAATGGCAGCTGGGCAGACGGAGAGAAACAAAGTGATGAGCGTAGCGTAAAATGGCGCCAAAAGACCATGTTATCTACGGCCTGGGGAATCCCCGCAATGATTGCGTGATTTGCAATGCCTATACAATGCCTATATTATAGAGCACCTCAAAGCAATCGTTTCAAAGCAGATATTCCTTCTGTGAATATAGAGTATCGTGAACAATGACAGCGATGAAATAAGTCCCCTTGCTCATGAAATTTAGCTCTTAACTGAACTCTTCTCATGTCAATGCCAAATTACCAATGATATCATACTGGACGTAATACAGTCTTATGATGCAATGATTACTCGTGAGTAGAGGATAAATTGACCTACACTGAGAACCACAACCTCCTAAGCAGAAAATCTTGTTGATGTCAAACCAGGGCAATGAACATTAAGAAAAAGCGGCGAATTATCAAGACTACAGATTGAAATGCATCTCATCGTATTCGTTTATCAATGCAAAAAATGAATTAATACAATATTTGTACTAACTTCTCTGATTATGATAGCCAATTTGGACTAATAGTCTTAAGGTTAGACTGAGCAGTTTGGCGTCATCCAGAATGTGGAATTCCCCGTGACCACAGCACATCTGCTCAGATGAGCAAACACTACAAAAAGGGAATCGGTCATTTGCTTTTTATCAATAAAAAAAAATCAAATCCATGCTCCGTTGCTTTCTAATGCACTGTTATCTGGAGTATTTATCAAGAACAAAAATCACATTCGAAATAGAAATTGACGTTTTTATATACATGTAGTTGTGGTTTCGCGGGTCATGGTATATAATAGAGTGGCACTTTTGAACACTTGGTTCGTGAGTGGTGCTAGATTTTTAATACAAAGGATATTCTTTTCCTCAAATGTTAGTGTACTACGGTTATTGATATCCCCGGTGTGTTAAACGATGATATCTTTCCATTCCATTAACACACTTTGAGTACTTCCTCATCGATTGCAATATTATGTAGCCATAATGCCTTTTACTTCTTGAGCAATGTAACTCTGTAATTTGTAATACGTATATAATTACAGAACGTTTTTTTCTTGTGTAAAATAAATGTTTTAACATGCTATTGTATATATTTGCAGGTAGTAATGCGTTGAGGTGATCGGACATAAAACGTGCCAATTTCGATTTCATATAATCGACGAGTTTTAAGGTATTTAATTCCTTGAAAAGCGACTTGGGCAAGATAGTGAGAATTAGTGCAAATTCGAACAAATTAAGGTTTCTTTTGTGATATATATAAACGTTTTGAATTATTTGATCTTGTTCCTGACTGAAAAACGAACTAAATCATGACTATAGTTGAGACTGACGCCAATGAGATACACCAAACAAAAATTCTTGTGAGATAATAAAAAACTGAATGTTAAATTTGAAAGAACATACAATTTAGATGACAAAATCATCTTTGTTTAATCAAAATCGGTTTAGAGACGGCTGAAATATCCATAAATATAACGATTTCTAATACTTGTGTACCACCTTAAATATTCGATAATTTGAAAAAGCCGTTGGAAAATCGAAATAGCGCCTTTTACGTCATATTTCAGCCAATGCCGATGTTGACTTTTTTTTGTTGGCTTTTTCGTGTTTTTTTTTATACGCCCAACCAGCCGGCCCATGTATTGTTATTTTTTATTAATTCATTAATTAACGGTCACCGTATTTTTTTGAAAGTGGAGCTGAATTGGTTTGATCGTATTGGCTAAATTGCATACATTTTGGGGTCTAAAATTACCTTCATAGCAAATTTTAGGTTCTTAAAGGGCACTAGAAATGTCATAGATAAGAATAAGAGCAACAACCATGCACTTTGAAGGCATTTGCGGTCTGAAAACAGAACTCAACTATCCCTTTAAGACCCATAGAATACGACAGGGGCCCCGAAGTTGCTCCAAAAGGCACCAAGGACCAGCAACTCTAGACA